TAAGTACTCAGGTTCATTCCCGCTCTTCAGTCCTATTCTCTCCAGTCTTCATCAGAAAGAAAAACCAAGTTCTTATCGGTAGCAGAGCCCTTAAAGATTATTGAGTTCTAGCGATAGTATCTTTGAATAATCTGCAACCTGATTGTCTATCTTGCACGGCCGTCTCTATTCTATCTTATTCTATTTCTCTTAGAAGAGACCCCCGTTACAGATAATCTTTAAGGCTCAAGTCACCTTCAGATTATTCTTCCTCTATACAAAATGTCCGCCCTCTCGGCTCCAGATGCACCCCTTCAGATTGAATGGCAGCCGGTGCCCCTCCAGCTTGATGCCACCAGGCAGACACAGCTTGTCAAGAAGCCCAGGACCGCTCTACAGACCTACATTCCCGGCTGTGAGCCTGTCTGGCAGGATACCGATGAGGTTCCCTTACAACAGTTCTTCACAGAGCTTCAGACCTACCTCCAGCACAGCCTGCAGAGTCAGTTGAACCGAGGCAGTCAGGCACTGCTCATTGTACAAGAGCGCCAGGCAGCACAGAATGCTCTGCTAGCAGAAGCTCTAGAGTACATGAGGTCGGAAGTCAACTCTGTTCAGGAAGAGCTCCGGAGGTATGCAGAAAGAGATGAACTGAATGCCGATGTTGATGCTATGGAGATTGAGTGGACCAATCCGGCCACTCCACCAGACTTTGTTGCCGAGATACAGAAAGCTCTTGATGAAGGAAGGTTGGTGGTGGGTAGACCAGCAACTCCGGCACCACTTTCAGTCTCCAGGTCCTCTTCCAGAGCAGCTACCAGGACAATGCAGCGGAAGACCAGCCCCTTTGCAGCATTTGCGGTCCGATCCACTAGGAGAGTTATCCCTATTGTGCAGCCAGCGGTGGGGTCTTCACCCTTACCACCTAGCCGCTTCGGTGGAACACATCCACTCCTTGGAGGAGCCGACCGATCCTTTGACTATGAAGGAGAGTTCTTCTCAGGTGCAGGCCGAGGACCTCCTAGTCCGCTAGCCAGGAACCCAGGAAGGTTTACCATGTCTGGGGCTGCTCATCCAGCAGCAACCTCACCACTGGCCAGCAACCCGGCACCAGTAGCACCTGTGGCCCCTTCTGCTGCGGCCACCGCTCCCCCTCCAGCTCAGGCACAGGGAGGAAGTGGCGGAGATCAGAATCCTCCACCTCCAGCAGCCCGCTCCCGCTCCAGGAGATTCGGATAACTCTGACAGCTCAGACTCGGAACCAGACGGTGGTAATAGAAGAGATTGGCGGAGATACCTTAAGAAGAAGTTGGAGAAGCAACAGAAGAATCTGTTGGCAATGATGTCCCAGCAGTATCAACCTCCGACCACCTCCCACCCTTCTACTTCCACCAGGGCTCGAGAACCAAAGGCACCACCACCTTCTAAGTTCCAGGGCAAGGCGGAGCAAGTGGAGACCTTTATCCGGCAATGTGAGAATGTCTTCTCCATTGAGAGCCTATCCTTTACCTCTGAGGAGGTTAAGATCCGATATGCAGGCAACTTGATGGAAGGTGAGGCAGCGATCCGATGGTATGAGGCATACCACAATTCAATTGATCAAGCCTCCGCCAACCGCCTTGCTGGGATGCCGGTGCAGTTGGATCAGAGATGGAAGCGCTGGGATTCCTTTGTGGATGCTTTTAGAGCTGCCTTCGGTGAAGCCATCTCTAGAGATGATGCTGTAGCCCAATGGAATACCCTCGCTCACACAGCTCGAGGAGGAATAGACCTCTTCCTGAATACTATCATTCAGCTGATGTGGAAGACTGGCTATGAGGGTCAGTTGGTGGATGATAAGATTCATAATTCCCTCCTCCCGGACCTAGGCATGAGTTGGGCTCTTTTTAATCCCAAGCCAAAGTCTTTGATGGAGCGGATAGCTGCTCTAAGAGAGTTAGGGCACACCCATGAGAGGTACCAAGGGATGGCAGCTGAGAAAGCGCACCCTCGGACCAAGAAAGATCCTCCCGCTCAGAAGGACCAGCAGCCTAAGAGGAAAAGAGAAGCTGTGAGCTCCTCCGGCCCTCAGAAGACTCCCGGACCTAAGGATAAAGCGGTGGAACTGAAGGGTATCCCGGGGGATATTCTAGAAGAAAGAAGGAAAGCAGAAGTATGCTTGAAGGTATGACCTTCCGGTACTCCCTATTGGTAGAGTGCATAGACTGACTTGTGCAATAGTGCGGCAAGTCCAGACACAAATGGACCGATTGTTGGTCCAAGGAACCTACTGTTGTCCGAGTGGCAGCAGTAAGAGTACAAAAGCGGAAAAGAGGGAATGGCAAGTCCAACTCTCAGAAGAAGGCTAAAGTGGCTGCTGTAGTAGCAGAAGATCCACTTGTTGTACTCCCGGAGGTTACAGAAGATTTTGTTTTTCAGCCTGAGCAAGACTCGGACAATGAAATCATCTGGTAGAAAAAGTGTCTGTTTTAGTCTATGTTTACTAGTTTTCTTTCATATGGGTTTTCGGTTTCTATGCTTTTCTTGAATAAATTATGATTGTGTTTCCGCCTATTTGATTGCTCCAAGCACTCTGAGGATGGGTTTAAGACCCGAAACAGCTGGTCTGTCAGTGCTCTACCAAAGTTATATTTGCTACCAAGACACTTCCAAACCGCTGTTAAAAAGACTACTACACAATACATCTGCTATATTATCGCTTGGGAATAGAACCAAAGGATCCCTGATCTTAGTAGTGCCCGAAGCTATTAGCTATGTTGAAAAGACAAAGAGAACCAAGTCCGGAAACCGCTGTTAAGCAGAGAAAGTTGGAACAGAGGCTTCCCTCCTTACCAGTACATGGAAAAAGACCTATACTAAAGGCAGGACTGTCATGTACGGTCAAAGGAAAGGATGAAGGCGCCCAAGGGTCTTTTCTGTTTGACACCGGTTGTACAGGAGCTATCCTCAACCAGAGTTTTGTCAGGAAACATGGAATTCCCTTAGTGCGGCGGGATCAACCTCTGACAATGTTTGATGCTCAAGGAGATGTCATGATGGGAGGAGGCGAGTATTACACTCACCCGGTCCGCATGACTATGGGAGATCATAAAGAGACACTCCGATGGGAGGTGGCTACACTGGAAGAAGGAATGACCGGTTACCTGCCAATTAGTTGGGCTAGGAAGCATAACCCGGACATCAACTGGGAACTCAACACCATGAGCTGGAGGAGTGACTACTGCAAGCAGAATTGTCTCCCAGCGGCCACCAAGATTGAACTGATCTCTCCATACCAAATGTTGGAAGAAGAAGAGACAGTCTATCAATTGGTTGGTTCAGTATGGCATGATGAGGACGGAGGTGATATTGCTGAGAAAATACACCACCTATACCGGGATTGGGCTGATGTGTTCAGTCAAGAGAAGATTGAGGAAATGCCGCCGCATTCCCATAATGATCTGAAGATCAAACTCTTGCCTGGGACCGCTCCCCCATTTGGCCCGCTATACCCATGCTCCGCTCCAGAGTTGAAGGCCCTCCGAGAGTACCTGGACAAAGAGTTGTCTTCAGGAAAGATCTCTAGATCGAATAGCCCTGCTGCGGCACCCATACTGTTCATTCCTAAGAAGGACGGGACTTTGCGGATTTGTGTGGATTATAGAGGTTTGAACAAGGTCACTGTCAAGGACAAGTACCCGCTGCCTATCATGAGTGAGCTCAGAGACAGGTTGTTCAAGGCCAAGATCTTCACAAAGATAGACCTGAAGAATGGCTTCAATTTGATCAGGATAGCCGAAGGTGATGAGTGGAAAACCGCTTTCAGAACCCGCTATGGACTGTATCAGTACAATGTGATGCCATTTGGCCTATGCAATGCTCCCTCCGCTTTCCAGGCAATGATCAATGATGTGCTAAAGGAACTACTGGATGAAGGAGTAGTTGTCTATATCGATGACATCCTCATCTACTCGGAGACTGAGAAAGAGCATGAGCTATTGGTCAAGAAGGTACTACAGAAGCTTAGGGAAGCTAAGCTCTGTGCCTCGATCAATAAGACATCCTTCCATGTCCGAGAAGTAGAATACCTAGGCTATCATATCTCGGAACAAGGAGTATCTATGTCAGAAGACAAGGTGGAGGCAGTTAAGGAATGGCCAGTCCCTGAGAATATCAAGGCAGTACAGGCATTCCTCGGATTTGCAAACTTCTATCGCCGCTTTATTGAAGGCTTCAGTAAGGTTTGCAAACCACTAACTGACCTCCTGCAAAAAGACAAGAAATGGTATTGGACAGCAGCACATGAGCAGGCCTTTGAAGAACTCAAGAGGCTGTTCACAAGCGCTCCAATCCTCCTTCATTTTGACCCTAGTAGGAGAACGGTGGTCGAGACAGATGCCAGTGATTTTGCCAAGGGAGCGGTGCTCTCTCAGTATGGGGATGATGGGAAGCTACATCCGGTGGCATTCTATTCTAAGAAGTTCTCCCCTGCTGAGATCAACTATGACATTCATGATAAGGAAATGGGAGCTATTGTAGCCTCTTTCCGGGAATGGGAACACATGCTCAAATCTTGTGAGCAAGAGATCACGGTTTTTACAGACCACAAGAACTTGGAGTACTTTAATTCTACCAAGGTTCTCACTAGGCGGCAAGCTAGATGGTCTGAGGACCTCGCAGGCTACAATTTTAAAGTTGTCTACAGACCGGGAGAAAAGAATGGCAAGACTGATGTGCTATCTAGGCGCTGGGATCACCGCCTTGGAGAGGGAGGTGAAACTCTGCAGCCGGAGCCACAGATCTTTTTTAGGCCAGGTCAATTGGTTTTGGATCCTGCAAAGCTAGTGGCTGTCAGGGTGAATCAATTGCAGAATACATTCTTAGAGCGCCTATACACGGCTGCTAAAGAGGATAGTTTCTGGCAGGAATTGCACCGCTCCCTGGTTGAAAGGAAACCAAATTTGGACCAGAACTTGTCGGTCAAGAACGGTCTCATCTTCTAAAAGAATAGATGGTACATACCCAAGGACAAGAAGCTTCAGATGGAAATACTGTCCGATACCCATGACTCTAAGGTGGCTGGTCATTTTGGCCAATTTAAGACACTAGAGCGGGTGAAAAATAACTTCTTTTGGCCCAACATGGATAAGGATGTTGAGGAATATGTCCGGAGCTGTGACAGCTGCCAGAGGAATAAGACCTCAAGACACAAGAAGTTTGGTATGCTCCAACCGTTGGAGATACCCTATCGGCCATGGACTTCCATCTCTATGGACTTCATTGTGGGACTACCGGAATCTAGTGGGTTTACAAAGATCTGGGTAATAGTGGACCGCTTTTCGAAGATGGCACACTACATCCCTCTTCCTACCCTCAATAAAACGGAAGATTTGGCTAAATTGTTCTTGAAGGAAGTTTGGAGACTCCATGGTTTGCCTGATGACATAGTCTCGGACAGAGATAGCAGGTTCATTTCTCACTTTTGGCAATCTCTCATGAGCCTCCTCAATGTGAAGCTGAAGATGTCCACATCTTTCCACCCCCAGACGGACGGTCAAACAGAAAGAGTTAATCAGACCCTGGAACATTACTTGCGGAGTTATTGTTCATATCAACAGGATGACTGGGCAGAACTCTTGCCTTTGGCAGAGTATGCTTATAACTCGGCGGTCTCTGAGTCTACCAAAGTATCGGCTTTTTATGCCAACTATGGATATGAACCCAGGACCAACTGGCCGGCCCCAAAGGAAGGAGTAGAATGGAACAATCCAGCAAGTGAGGTCATGATTTCTCAATGGGAATCTATCTGGCAGGCTATGAACGCCAGCTTGGGTAAAGCTAGATTAAGGATGGCCCGGTGGTGTAACGGAGCCATTTCAACTGTCTGGTGTATGAGTACACACAGGGCCCGATTACATGCTGAGAGTTATTGTTAGAAGCCAGTTGCACGGTGATATGCAAGTACCGGCAGTGTGGTTAGCTACCAGCTGTTAGAGTCACTACATTCCGGACGCTAGGAAGGGGATCTATTCATGGGAGCAATGACTGACGAGTCTATGCCTCGCCAGTGACTAGAAGACCGGCCAGAGTGAAGCTCTGATTGTCCGGTGATCCTCTGTATCCTCTAAGCATTGTATGACCGCCGAAGAGGCAGGGACTATGCTAGGGAAGTCTACAATAAGCGAAAGCTCTACAGCAATGATTAAGCTTACACCTGAGCGGTAGCTCATTCATGCAGGTCCTCGGTTGTGTGGCAACCAAGGCTGCAGGTGTTACAAAGGCTTTGACTAAGGGTGGTTGCCTTGGGTATCGGAAACACCTGCTGACGCTTAGAGAAAAGCGGGGTAGCGGTGGTATTGTTTTCCGGTACTGCGGAAAGGCCCACCGGAACTTAGTAAGGAGTTAGGAGCAGAGAATAGAGGCCTTTGGAGTATAAGTACTCAGGTTCATTCTCGCCCTTCAGTCCTGTTTTTTCTCCAGTCTTCATCAGAAGAAAAAACCAAGTTCTATTCGGTAGCAGAGCCCTTAAAGATTATTGAGTTCTAGCGATAGTATCTTTGAATAATCTGCAACCTGATTATCTATCTTGCACGGCCGTCTCTATTCTATACAAATCTATTCCTCCTAGAAAGGACCCCCGTTACAGATAATCTTTACGGCTCAAGTCACCTTCAGATTATTCTTCCTCTAGACAAAATGTCCGCCCTCTCGGCTCCAGATGCACCCCTTCAGATTGAATGGCAGCCGGTGCCCCTCCAGCTTGATGCCACCGGGCAGACACAGCTTGTCAAAAAGCCCAGGACCGCTCTACAAACCTACATTCCCGGTTGTGAGCCTGCCTGGCAGGATACCGACGAGATTTCGGTCCAACAGTTCTTCACAGAGCTCCAGACCTACCTCCAGCATAGCCTGCAGAATCAGTTGACCCGGGGCAGTCAGGCCCTACTCATTGTACAAGAGCGCCAGGCAGCACAGAATGCTCTGATGGTAGAAGCTCTTGAGTACATGAGGATGGAGGTCAACTCTGTTCAGGAAGAACTCCGGAAGTATGTGGAGAAAGACGAACTGAATGCCGATGCTATGGAGATTGAGTGGACAAACCCGGCTACTCCACCAGACTTTGTTGCCGAGATACAGAGAGCCCTTGATGAAGGAAGACTGGTGGTGGCCAGACCAGCAACTCCGGCACCAAATCCAGCCCCCAGGGCCTCTTCCAGAGCAGCTACCAGGACAATGCAGCGGAAGACCAGCCCCTTTGCAGCATTCCCGGTCAGATCCACTAGGAGAGTTATCCCTATTGTGCAGCCAGCGGTGGGAGCTTCACCCTTACCACCTAGCCGCTTCGGTGGAGTACACCCACTCCTTGGAGGAACTGACCGATCCTTTGACTATGAAGGAGAGTTCTTCTCAGGTGCAGGCCGAGGACCACCCAGTCCACTAGCCAGGAACCCAGGAAGGTTCACCATGTCTGGGGCCGCTCAAACAGCGGCAACATCACCACTGGCCAGCAATCCGGCACCAGTAGCACCTGTGGCCCCTTCAGCTGCGGCCGCCGCCCCCCCTCCAGCCCAGGCACAGGGAGGAAGTGGTGGAAATCAGAACCCTCCACCTCCAGCAGCCCGCGCTCCCGCTCCAGAAGATCCAGACAGTTCTGACAGTTCAGACTCGGAACCAGAAGGAGGTGACAGAAGAGGCTGGCGGAGATACGTTAAGAAGAAGTTGGAGAAGCAACAGAAGAATCTGTTGGTAATGATGGCCCAGCAGTATCAACCTCCGGCCAACTCCCACCCTTCTACTTCCACCAGAGCTCGAGAACCAAAGGCACCACCACCTTCTAAGTTTCAGGGCAAGGCGGAGCAAGTAGAAACCTTCATCCGGCAATGTGAGAATGTGTTCTCCATTGAGAGCTTGTCATTTACCTCTGAGGAGGTTAAAATCCGATATGCAGGCAACTTGATGGAAGGCGAAGCTGCGATCCGTTGGTATGAGGCATACCACAATTCAATTGACCAAGCCTCCGCCAACCGTCTTGCTGGAATGCCGGTGCAGTTGGATCTGAGATGGAAGCGTTGGGATTCCTTTGTGGATGCTTTTAGAGCAGCCTTCGGTGAAGCCATCTCTCGAGATGATGCTGTAGCCCAATGGAATACCCTTACCCACACAGCCCGAGGAGGAATAGACCTCTTCCTGAATACTATTATTCAGCTGATGTGGAAGACTGGCTATGAGGGTCAGTTGGTGGATGATAAGATTCACAATTCCCTCCTCCCGGACCTAGGCATGAGTTGGGCTCTTTTTAATCCCAAGCCAAAGTCCTTGATGGAGCGGATAGCTGCTCTAAGAGAGTTAGGGCACACACATGAAAGGTACCAAGGGATGGCTGCTGAGAAAGCGCACCCTCGGACCAAGAAAGATCCTCCTGCTCAGAAGGACCAGCAGCCTAAGAGGAAAAGAGAAGCTGCAAGCTCCTCCGGACCTCAGAAGACTCCTGGACCTAAAGACAAAGCGGTGGAACTGAAGGGTATCCCGGGGGATATTCTAGAAGAAAGAATGAAAGCAGAAGTATGCTTGAAGGTATGACCTTCCGGTACTCCCTATTGGTAGAGTGCATAGACTGACTTGTGCAATAGTGCGGCAAGTCCAGACACAAATGGACCGATTGTTGGTCCAAGCAACCTACTGTTGTCCGAGTGGCAGCAGTGAGAGTACAAAAGCGGAAAAGAGGGAAGGGTAATTCCAACTCTCAGAAGAAGGCTAAAGTGGCTGCTGTTGTAGCAGAAGATCCACTTGTTGTACTCCCGGAGGTTACAGAAGATTTCGTTTTTCAGCCTGAGCAAGACTCGGACAATGAGATCATCTGGTAGAAAAGTGTCTGTTTGAGTCTATGTTTACTAGTTTTCCTTTTATATGGGTTTTCGGTGTTTCTCTTGAATAAATTATGATTGTGTTTCTGCCTATTTGATTGCTGCAAGCACTCTGAGGATGGGTTTAAGACCCGAAACAGCTGGTCTGTCAGTGCTCTACCAAAGTTATATTTGTTACCGAGACACTTCCAAAAACCGCTATCAAAAATTACTACACATCATATCTGCTATATTTTCGCTTGGGAATAGAACCAAAGGATCTTTGATCTTAGTAGTGCCCAAAGCTATTAGCTATGTTGAAAAGACAAAGAGAAACGAGTTCGGAACCCGCTGTTAAGCAAAGAAAGTTGGAACAGATGCTTCCTTCTTTACCAGTACATGGGAAAAGACCTATACTGAAGGCAGGACTGTCATGGACGGTCAAAGGAAAGGATGAAGGCGCCCAAGGTTCTTTCCTGTTTGACACCGGTTGTACAGGAGCTATCCTCAACCAGAGCTTTGTCAGGAAACATGGAATTCCCTTAGTGCGGCGGGATCAACCTCTGACAATGTTTGATGCTCAAGGAGATGTCATGATGGGCGGAGGCGAGTATTACACTCACCCGGTCCGTATGACTATGGGAGATCATAAGGAGACACTCCGATGGGAAGTGGCTACTTTGGAAGAAGGAATGACCGGCTACCTGCCAATTAGTTGGGCTAGGAAGCATAACCCGGACATCAACTGGGAACTCAACACCATGAGCTGGAGAAGTGACTACTGCAAGCAGAATTGTCTCCCAGCGGCCACCAAGATTGAACTGATCTCTCCATACCAAATGTTGGAAGAAGAAGAGACAGTCTATCAATTGGTTGGTTCAGTATGGCATGATGAGGACGGAGGTGATATTGCTGAGAAAATACACCACCTATACCGGGATTGGGCTGATGTGTTCAGTCAAGAGAAGATTGAGGAAATGCCGCCGCATTCCCATAATGATTTGAGGATCAAACTCTTGCCTGGCACCGCTCCCCCATTTGGCCCGCTGTACCCATGTTCCGCTCCAGAGTTGAAGGCCCTCCGAGAGTACCTGGACAAAGAATTGTCTTCAGGAAAGATCTCTAGATCTAATAGCCCTGCTGCGGCACCCATACTATTCATTCCTAAGAAGGATGGGACATTGCGGATTTGTGTGGACTACAGAGGATTGAACAAGGTCACCGTTAAGGACAAGTACCCGCTGCCTATCATGAGTGAGCTCAGAGACAGGTTGTTCAAGGCCAAGATCTTCACAAAGATAGACCTGAAGAACGGCTTCAATTTGATCAGGATAGCAGAAGGTGATGAGTGGAAAACCGCTTTCAGAACCCGCTATGGACTGTATCAGTATAATGTGATGCCATTTGGTCTATGCAATGCTCCCTCCGCTTTCCAGGCAATGATCAATGACGTGCTAAAGGAACTACTGGATGAAGGAGTAGTTGTCTATATTGATGACATCCTCATCTACTCGGAGACTGAGAAAGAGCATGAGCTATTGGTCAAAAAGGTACTACAGAAGCTTAGGGAAGCTAAGCTCTGTGCCTCGATCAGTAAGACATCCTTCCATGTCCGAGAAGTAGAATACCTAGGCTATCACATCTCGGAAGAAGGAGTATCTATGTCAGAAGATAAGGTGGAGGCAGTTAAAGAATGGCCGGTCCCTGAGAATATCAAGGCAGTACAGGCTTTTCTCGGATTTGCAAACTTCTATCGCCGCTTCATTGAAGGCTTTAGCAAGGTTTGCAAACCATTAACTGATCTCTTGTAAAAAGACAAGAAATGGTATTGGACGGCAGCACACGAGCAGGCCTTTGAAGAACTCAAGAGGCTGTTCACGAGCGCTCCAATCCTCCTTCATTTTGACCCTAGTAGGAGGACGGTGGTCGAGACAGATGCCAGTGATTTTGCCAAGGGAGCGGTGCTCTCTCAGTATGGGGATGATGGGAAGCTACATCCGGTGGCATTCTATTCTAAGAAGTTCTCCCCCGCTGAGATCAACTATGACATTCATGATAAGGAAATGGGAGCTATTGTAGCCTCTTTCCGGGAA